TGTATACATATATATATATATGTGAATATATGAATATATGTATGTATGTATTGTATGTATGTATGTATGTATGTATGTATGTATGTATGTATGTCCACTGTATATATATATATATACATATTATAGTTTTCTTGACAGGGCAGCCTGGGCTTCCGCGGCTGCGAGCGCAACACCGAGACTTGGGCAATGCCCGTGGAGCCTTGCGGCTGTTAGCAGGGTTTAGGGCTTTAGGACTTTAGGACTTTAGGGTTTAGGGTTTGGGTTTTGGGACTTTTGGGTTTAGGGCCAGTTTACTGTAGGGTTTGGGGTTTAGGAAGAATGAACAACAGCGATGACCTTTGTCGTTTTTGCGACCACAAGAGCTGTGGGTCAAAAGCAGGTGCCGCAAAGAGGTACTTTACCTTAACGCAGTATAGGATCCCAGAGCGCAGAGACCTAATCGCATTCATCTACTGTATGCCATGTTCTGTAGTTTTAGAGGACTCTCCCCCAAGAAAGGAGAGGAACCATCCTGACTATCAACCGAGACCTAAGACGGCTGCAGGAAGCTGAACGTGTGATCCGCTGCGGCCGCGGTGCGTCCTTGGCGGGAACGGGCCAAGGTTCTACCATTCTGCCATGAGACATATGAGTCATATGAGACATCAGCTTTAGGTCCTTTAGGTTTAGTTTAGGGTTCTGAGTCACCAGTTTAGTTAAAGGCCTCAAGATCACAGGCGAGAACAGTCTTTCTTGGCTGGACATTGCGGAGCAGTGTCTTCCAGGTGTCTATACACGTTGTGCGTGTTTCGGGTCAGCTGGCCAGGCAGTCGACAAGACAGAACTGATGCACGGCATCTCTGCAGCTGCTCGCACATGCTCGCTTCCACAATCTACGGGAGCTTTTTGCTCTGCTGGAAAGAGCTCCTCAAGTCGACACCATCGTTGTCGCGATTCCTTCTAAGCTGACTCACGGAAACTACAGCTGCTTCGGAGGCAAGATGCCCGCAGTAACAGTATGTACAGTTTGGGCTTTAGGCTTCATCTCCTCTGGGTTGAAGGAAGTATAGAAGTATAGTGCTGTATGCCAACCATAAGGTGCCGGCCGCCAGCTGTTTGGAAGATTGCTGCAAAGCCGCAGGGGCTTTGAGGCCTGTGACACATGTCTCAGGCAAGATTGGGTGAAAGACCAAAGCAAGCATGTGTGACAACGCGTTGTGTTGGGACGCCCTCAAAAACCCATACAATTTCGAGACTGAGCGCTAAGCCCCGGGAATCCCGAGAACCCCTAAAGCCCAGACAAGGGTGGACCTTGTACTTTGCTGTCAGCCGGAACGCCGCTCCGGGTACCTGGCGTGGCAGCTGTCAGGCTCCAAGAGGAGCCGTGTACTGTGGCCTGGGTCTAGGCTTGAGGGTCTTGGGGTTTGGGGCTTCGGGGATGTTTATAAAGTTCAAAGGACATCAGCAATCTCTTCACCAAATCCTCGGCAAGCCGCCAGAATCCGTGACTTGCTATCCTTACTAACTGACGCAGTCTTCTCGCAGGAACTTCTGAAACAGCACGATGGCCTTGGCCAAGCCAGCAAACAGCCTGAGTCGGCGTGTAAAAGTTCACTTCGCATGACTGGCTTTTGACCTTGACTATGCAACGCTTGGGGGGTGGGTAGCTTCCGATTGGCCCAAGGGTAGTGCCTATGAAGATACGGGAGGCTCCATGCAGCCACTCTGAACTTGCCTAGAAAACCAACCACTCGCGGCAGACGGTTTTAGCCCTAAACCCTTCTTGGGCCCCAAACCTGCGCTGAAACATGGAGCTCTAAAGCCCTTCTGCCCTGCAAAGACTAAGGACCCCGATCGAGTCAAGAGTTACGGAAGTCTCTTGGCGACGCAAGCCCTTTCCTCCCTATATAATCCCAAAACAATCTACAACCCTCAACCCTAAGCGATGCAGCGCTGAACCTCAAAGCCCACAACCCCACAACCTATAAATGCTCAAATGTGCTAAAGCCATGAAGCGTCCTCCGCCCCCTTGTTCCGAGGCCGAGCAGCAGCCGTGACCACCGCAGCTGCCGACTTGGAAGTCGAAAACAGCGACTCCCCCCCTGGGCTCCGAGGGTCTAAGTCTTCAGGCTCTCTTCGTGTGAATACGGTTTTGGTTTAGGGTTAGTTTAGGGTTTAGGGTTTAGGGTGGACGTTGGGACGAGCGTCTATAGGCTAGAGTTATGCAGGGTCCTGCCTTCAGAATTAGAATAGGGTTTTGGGGCGTATTATATACCAAATTAGAACAAGGAGCCCCCACAATAGTATAGGTAAGTGTTAAAGCCCCTAGAGTATATGGACTTTTTGGGTTTTGGGAGGCAAGGCTTTTAAGGGTGTGGGGTGTTAGGCTCTTGGTGCTCGGGGTTTCCTTCACTGCGTTAAAGGCCTTAGAGCTCCAAGGCTTTGAGGGAGAAGGCTTCGGGTTCTATGACTGCAAGGTTTAGGGTTTAGGGTTAGGGGTGTAGGGTTTAGGGTTTAGGGTTTAGGGTTTAGGACTGCGCGGTTTCGAGATTCGCCACCTCTGGCCCTTGAAGGGTTGCTGTGGTTTGCACAGGGCTGCTTCCGACTTTTTCGGGACGAGGCCATTATCATATGTGCGTTCATTTGGTTCGCACACACACGCACACTAAACTGGAACATCGACGAGCAGTTCTACATCAACACATCCAATCGTAGATGCCTGGTGCTCTCAGAGCCATAGCCAGCTCCGGAACAGCATGGACCCAGCGCCAGGGCTTCTAGTGCCAAGGAACTTCAGACCTACGAAACAAAAACCGATGTCAGAAAGCTCCAATTACGGAAATGCTCATAGCATTGATCTCAGAAGGAGCCCAGGAGCGTAACCACAGCCATCATCTATCCCCGGAGTCGCGATGATCAGGCAATCACACATAATGGCAGCGGGCCTCCGAAGAATGCTACGACTGTGAGGTCCGACATCTCCCCAACCCTCCCAGGCTGTGAGATCTGCTTACGCCAAGCAGATTTGCTGATGCCGGGCGCTTCAAACCTGCACCAGAGCTTTCAGACTGCGTTGTGTGGGGAAATCGGGTGGGGCTTTGGTTCGGGACGTAGCTTCCTAGGGCTTCTTGGGTCTAGTGCCTCGATGAGAGCTTCATGGTCTATGGTCCTTTAAAAATTCGAGGTCGGGAACTCCTGATCTCGCAACTGCATGACCCCAACATCCCGAAACACCTAGACATTATAAACCCTGAAACACCTTCCAACTCTGAACCCCAAATCTCTGAAACCTCATCCCGCAGACACCAACGCCACGTCGAGGACGAATACCCACGGCCTTCAAATCGGCCCAACTGGGCACGAAGTTCTGCTTGCAGTGCTGAGGCAGGTCGAGGCTTTGCACCTTTAGTGGTTGTTTGGGAATCTACCCGAGGGTGGAAAGTTTGGGCTTTGGGCTTGTAGGGTCAGCGATGCGGCGATGAGGGGACTTCGTCGAGGGACTATGCAGCTACGGGCCGCGCCTGTCTACATCTGGGGTGGGGTAGTTGTGCGGTTGCGGGTTCAGGTTGGGGTCGGCTCGGGTCCGGAGATTTTGGCAGGAATACATTACAAGCGGATTCCGTCCAGGCGTGAGCTGTGCGCATTGGAACCTTAGATGCACAAAACATAGAAACAAGCTGCCGGAGAGTATGGCAGCGACCCAGACATGGCATCAGCACGACATCTATTTCCGCACCAGCCTGGCAGCCGTCTGCATACAATCTCTGCACAAGCTTGCATAAACCTAACACTGGAGACCGCAGTCTACCGCCCTGGAGCCTTGGACCAGAAACGGAGGCATACTTATTTCATCACCAAACCGTGATTCCCGAAGCCCCTCACCCTTGGCCGTGAACTCTGAAACCCTACGTCCTAGGAGGCAGCTTCCAAAATTTGAGGATCGGGCTGTCGTTGGAGCAAGGCTGCGACGCCTCGAGCAGCAAGCTGAACCAACGCTCCAGGCTTCGTGTGTGGGACTCGTCGTGCTTTTCGGTACGTTACAGCGTTTCTGGTTCTAGGGTGCATGTAGGGCGTCTAGGGGTTCGATAAAGCTAGCTTCTTGGTTTTGCATCTGGTCTTCCGTGGGTATAGGATGCCAACCTGCAGGCCCCGCTGTCTCAGAACAACTGCATGTTGCTTTCACATGAATTTTATCCTCAGCGAAGTAGAAGCGGCACATTACCTTCATCAGCTGGCACTGGCAGTTATGTTTCCACAGATGCCACGCTGAAATCGAGGACTTGACGAGAGTCGACTTCCCGCGTCCCGACAAAGCATTGCGCGTGGCTCCGTGTCATATGAAACTTGCCCCGGGCCTCCAGATTCGCCGTGGATGGTCTCGCAACCATTGCAGCCAGTTCCTGTCGGTCTCATGCTGAGGAGAAGGCCGACTACACAGAGTGCAACAAAGCTGCATGCAAGAATCGGAGATCATCGACACACAAGTACTTCAGAAGCTCCATGAACCTCGCGGGGGTGGAGAACGCAACGCACCCCGCCNNCCCCCCCCCCCCCCCCCCGCGCAAACTGTTCGCTCCTTGGCCATGGGGCTCTCTGTGGAGGTCACGACCTCGGTGCCTGTCCAAGCGCTGCTGATTTGCTCTGATTGAGCTTCGTTTGAGGGTTGGGAGGGCTTCGCAAAGCGTCTGGCTTCCATGGCTTGTGCTTCCTTACTCGAAAGCTTCAGCTCGCAGGGATGGCAGACAGCAGGAAGATTGGACAACTCCCCTCACGCTTGAAGCATACGAGCAAGAGTACAAAACTGTGACATGAGGCCTGCCCTGGCAGAGGCACATACCTAACGATTAAGAGTATCTCGCTGAACGGACATTGATCCAGTCGAGGCTGACTCAAGCATGAGGCCTAACGGCATAACGTTTGAACTGCTCAGAAAGCCTTCAGGATTGGCATGTTCGGGGTCTCCTGTTCGTCTATTTCTCGAAACGCTATCAAGCTGGCTTCAGTCGCACAGTCATGAATGAGGGTCTAGATTCTAGATAATCGAGATCTGGAAAGAAACTCAGAGCGCCTGCCTGCATTCTGATCGTACAGGTCGCCCATGTCCCAGTAGACATCGAACATGACTTGGCCCTGTTGGGTTTCCGGGCTCAGGAACTCAGGAGTCCACGGAGCTTCAAGTATAGGGTTTAGGGTTTAGGGTTTAGGGTTTAGGGTTTAGGGTTCAAGTAATACAGCCTTTCTTGGGGGGGAATTTTGCCGCGTATAGAACTTAGTCGAGACGGGCGGCCATGGGAAATCTAGATGCTTCACTGCCCGTGGTAAAATGCGGCCTGAAGGACTAGTGGCATTTTTGACATCTAAGTCTACCCTAGGCGCTAGGTGCTCAGATGTAAACCGATTGCAGTAAACGCAGGTCTAACTCCTAGAATGGTCAGAGTGGTGATAGAAATTGAGAAGCCAAAGTTATTTCAACTCGGCCGTCAGCGCCCGTCACTGGCTACCCGGGCTACCCCATGCCCCAGGCCGGCCTCGCCATTGTAGTCCTTCCAGGCCTGCAAGGGAGACATCGAAGTAATTTGAGACTAAGGGGATTCAGGGTGTCTGGCGGGCTTAGGGCTTATAGTGGTTTAGGGTTTAGGGTTTAGGGTTTAGGGTTAAACCGTATATAGCTGAGTATCATGTTTGGAGCTTAGAGCTCCTGGACGGTCCCAAGCATCAACATCAGGCTGCGACAAAGATGCGCTGGAATTCTCCGGGTTCTCTATCCGCTGAACATAGCAACGCTTTGTGCTAATTCGAACTCTGCGGTAGCCTTCGAACTTAAGAGAGCGACGATTGACTTCATGAAGGGGAATTTCGATCGGGCCCCTGGCAGCTGCCTGTACAGCTGGCTTGCCATGATCCTGTATTCCTTCTCAGCTGCTGCCCGATTAATGCAAGTAAGGATGCCGGCATGAGCAGAACCGACAAAGTCAGCGTCGCTCCTCATCTCTGCGTGAAAAGGCACGATCAGTTGGCTGCCAGATGCCCCGTCAGGCATGTTTGCCAGTTGACACTACTTGAACCCGCGGAGGCCAAACTCCCCACAGAATCCTTCAGGATTATGCGGAAGAGGATTTCAATCAACCTACCACTGCGCAAACTGCTTCGGCGCAACAAAATATTTGCTTTAAGTCCTCCGAACCACTCTGTCAATGTAATCCTTCCTGGCGGGCGCACCATGCGGTCCCTTCGCGGCCGCGGGCCATACTTCTTCCTGCAAAGCAGTGGACATGCATTTGAACAGGTCACCGCACGATTAGATCAGAACAGAGCATGCCGTGAGTCTCATGATTCTGACTTTCCTATGCTTTGTGATTTAGCCCGAGGGTGCTTCGTAATCGAATCTGTGTAGGTGATACTCACGACTTGAATGGGATCTCCGAAGAATTCTTATTGACTTACACTCAACGAGTAGTGAACTAACCACGCCATGCCTCCCGTCGCACTCAAGTACCTGCCAAGTCAAGTTACTGGCTTCATGTTCCAAAGCTCCCAACTCAGCATGACTGCAGTTTGCGCAGCTTCAGAGAGTGGATACCTGTGCGACGCAGGCAACCGGTTCGAAGTATTTGTAGGCTACGAGGTCTGCCATGACGGGGCACGACGCCCGGCTGCATACACATCGTTTGCAGCGGGCTGGGCTGACAGCCCTCGGTCCTCAGTCCGCGGAAGCTGCTCTACAGCTCCTCAGTTCCCGGACACACCCCCTCAGCCCATACATTCAGACTTACCCTGGGATCCCGGCTTCTCGAAGCCGTGTATGAATTTTTCGGCTGGCCTCGGCGCGGAGTTTGACTACGCCTTTGGGCCTCCACCCGCTCTTTGCTTCTGATTGTGTCGAGACTGCCGTGTGGATCCATGCTAACCATTGTATTCCTTAAAAGTGCAGCTTGTCAGCCTTTCCGGATGTCCATGAAGCCAGGGGTGGGCCGCCTCGACGCTTCGGAAGTACAGGGAGCCCTCGAGGCCGGGTCCACGCAACATCAGGGCCTGGCCTGAACAAATTAATTGAACACAATTTAAAGTGGGTTTTTCCAGTATTCTACCACAAATCCTAGTTAGGGCTGTTAGGGAGTTAGGGACTCTGACCCTTGCACAAACACCAACACAAAAATCTCCCCTGGGATGCCGAGCGGTGAGACCGGCGCGGCCTCACGTCTTCCCTCCTGGTCGGATCGCAGGAACCACTGCGGTTTGGGGGTGTAGGCCATAAGGGTTTAGCACTCCTGGAGTTGTTGATGTGGGCTTACTGGAACCCGTACTTCCGTACTTTCCGGGAGGAGCACCAGCGACTCATCATGTCGTTTGTACCGTTGTTGTTCCATCCGAACCCCAAAGGCTGACCTACATCCGAAACTCAAAACTCGGATCCAAGAAACCCACCGAGCCCTCCAAAAGGCCCAAAGTGAAGGAATGCTTCAGAAGTTCTTTCGAAAGAGTCGGCTCCTGCGCAAACTTCAACCGAACACCTGGCTTCGCCTCACCGCGCTGCTCCGCATTGGGATTGGAGAATGGGCTTTTAAGGCTTGAGAGATCCCGTTTATGAACGTGGGCTTGGGGTTCAGGATTCGCAACTGTTGCAAGCTTGAGGGCGGCCTTTCCTAGAATGCGATTCAGCTCGAAAGGCCTGTCACCGTCTGAAGTCTATCGCCGTGACAGAATCAGAGAGGGTATCAACTTTAGTGATGTTTGGGATTACTGCAATAGCCTATCTGGATGTAGGGGTCTCCGATTTCTAGGGAATTCTGGATCGACGCACCAGCAGAGCTTCGACCATGGCATACCCGAAACTGCTGCACAATGAAATCCCCTGTACAACTTTTAGGGTTTTAGGGTTTGGGGTTTAGGGTCTTAGTTAATGTACAACCTTTGAACCCAAACCCCAACCAGAGGAGCTTGACCACAGCAGCAAGGGCAGCATCAACCACCCCCAAAGCCACAACACACCACAACCAAGACTTACAACAAGCAAACATCCGTAGAAGGAGACAGACGTAGTCACCGATACCCGCTCTGCAACTGCGCCTCTGGCGAGCCATCGACAGACTCCGCAATGGTGGTAGCTGAGGAGCTGGAGTCCTATCAACATCTGGGGTCTGCAAACTCTGGATTTCCGTGGCCGATTAGGCGCTGGGGCATGGGGTCTCTGGCAAGAGTTGGGTATCTCTAAACTTGGTCCTCTTCAGGAAAGTTTATTGCAGTCGCGACGTACTCTTGGTGAAGATCGAAAAGGCAACTCGATGGGTGTTTTGAACCCAATTCAAGCCATGTTGGCTGTCAGCGCTAAAACGGTTCACCGGAGTTGCAGACTTTGCGGGCTAAGGCAGAGACAGTGGGTTTAGGTTTCCGGATTGTTGAAACTCTCAAGCTCAACTGCAGTTGAAGCTTGCCGCGAGAATCTAATGTCCCCAAAAGCACTGGCTTCTTAGCTCTTATATGCCCTAAAGCACCTGAAAAATCCGAACCCGATACAGCTATGCCTTGACACTGCGGATGTCAAACTGCATGGAGTCGTTCATCTTCGGGAGCCTGCCGCTCGGGTACGGGGGAGGCCCCGTCAAGAAAGGGGGTTCGTAATGATTATAGAAATACTATATGGCTCGACTGTATGACCATTCCCTTACTCTCCAAGTACTCTCCCGCTTTATTACCTACGCTACGGCTCCCTTCATTTTTGTTTTCGAGGGCTTGATGCGAGAGAACAACCTGCGTGCTGCCACAGGGTAGATACTGGTGTGCTTTGATGCTTCAGCTGGTTGCATGGATCTCGTATGAACCGCGGACAGGAAGCCGTGCTTAAGTCCTCTGCCGTCATGGTGAGCGAGCAAGCGCCGCTTTTGATCCCAGCTGCTGGGCTGGCTAACGATATGCACTTTCACAAAGAGAACTACATCTCGCAACGCCCATCACTGGACAGTTCCAATCGCTAGCTGCAGCGACGTGCAAACCACATCATTCCACGGCTCACGAGAGAGAGCTTGACAGTCGAGTGGTCCTTCACAGGCTGTAAGGGTGCTTCGGGGCTTGGACGTCGGGCTATGCACAGCGCAGAAATAAGCTTGTTGAACTGCATTCCCAGTCGGAGCGTCCTCTTCGAGCACGTTATGTACGCCGTCAACCTGCTTCCGGGTAACATGCAGAGCTGTGGGGTGCTTGGAGGTTAATTACCGGAACGAAGGTGCCACGACCCATCCAGAAAAACCCACAGGTTCATTCACAGCTTCATGCCTTTAGCCGTGCTAACCCCTGAAAGGCTGAACTTGAGCAGCGTCTAACTGACTTGCAGAACAAACATAGCCATGACTTTATAAACCTTTAACACAGTACAGCTTAAATCCTAAGTCCTGGACCGTAGGTTCTGCTGGCAAGGAGCTGAAAGGCCCCGCTCGCGCAGCGCTGCTGCGAGACGGTGCACACCTGCACAGGAGGAAAAGTCATGCGGTTAAGGCTTTCTTCCAGAGACCAACTCGCCATTCTCAGCCAGCCCTTTGAGAAATTGTAGTCCTAAATTAACGAAAACCTGGGATGGACCTTCTCAAACGTTCTATGCCCAGCTCAGCTTGCACACCCCGAATACCCAATACCCTGCAACACCTGCACTCCTTTAAAAGAATCCCGTTTGGTGCTGAGTGATTACCGTAACGGGAACAGGTTGTCCGTAACGTGAACCTGTAACAGGAACCATGAGGGATGCCGTAACAGAAGCCACGGGTTCCCGTAACAGCTCCGGCCAGGAGCTGCCACACTCTTGTCGCCTCCGCCTACTCTTCTTGGTGTACAAGAGAGGGAGGGCTTTTCCGGTCCCCTCTTAGATGTCTTCCACATTCCATTTCATGTCTCGACTTTCCGATGCGTACAGCTGAACGATGAGGGAAAGGTTTGCTGCAATCATAGGTCGCCTTGTAGCTTCGGTGGTCCTGGCTGCTGCCCCGAATGCGATGTCTTGGTCGAGCACCGTAAGCCCCGCCCCAAAGCCCGAAACTCTCAAGACCCTCAAGCCAAAACTTCAGAGTTCAGAGGTTAGGGGGTGATGTCTTTGTCCGCTTCAACTCTAATCCCATAACCCTGAAACCTAAACCCTGAACCCTTCGTAATCATCGGGCTTTTGTGGGCTTGTGGCCGGAGAGTCTCCGGGTTGTCCCGTCTGCTGCCACTGCTACTGCTGCTGCTGTGGTGCTATTCCTACTGCTGCTGCTACCGCTACAGTAGCTGCTATTCCTACTGCTACTGAACGAAACATAGCCGTCAGTGTAAGGCTGTTAATGGTGTCAAAGAGGGGAACCGAAAAAACGGTCCCCCCCTGACAAGACTTCCTCCAAGACTCCCAGCCTGGTTTCGGTTACCGGGTTTCCCGGGACAGTTCCTGTTACAGTGCCCAGGCGGTTCCTGTTTCTACTATCCACCGTTCCGGTCGCGACCCGCCGAAATGGTTTCCGCTATTCCCAAACCGGGTTCCTGTTACTTCCCGCACCCGTTAACGGCCCTACACTGTATATCTATATTCTCCCGACACAGCCTGCAAAGCATGTACGGCTGAAGCTGAACTTGAGGCCCCGAAACCTTAGAAGCCTTAGACCGTTCAGTTGAACCTGTAAGGTGCTGAACTGAGCCTGACAATCACAGGTACTCACTACTGCGAGACGTCCACAGCCCATCTAAACTTTACACCCTACACCGCCACAAACCGCTACATTCGTTAAAGTCCCAATAAGCCCTCCAAAGCCCCCAAGGCCCGAAAGCCCCTGGCCCGAAAGATGCCTTCAGACACGAAGCCCTTCATGTGGAGTGGGGTATACTATACTATAAATTTACTATAGGGACCCCCCAAGAATAGTATAGGTGATTAAGAAGGCTCCTATATGGGTAGTTCTCGAAATTAGGGTCCCTTTTTAGGTCCCCAATATAGTGCGGCACTCTTATAAAAAGGACCCTAAAAGGGACCCTAATTTAGGAACTACCCATAGTATAGAACCCATCTGACCCGGATACTATAATATAACTTTACTAGGGAATCCCCAGAATAGTATAGGTGATTATGAAGGCTCCTATACTATAGAACCCCCTAAACCCTAAACCCTAAACCCTAAACCCTAATTTAGAGTACTACCCATGGAATAGAACCCATCTGCCCCGGGCCTTCCGGCAAGTCGTTGCTCACGTTTCCCGGCAGCTCCAGGCCTTTCTCTTCCCACTCCTCGGAGTCTCCATTTTGGGAACTACCCCCCAACCGTCGGTGCTTTTAAGGTCCCTAAACCCCAAACCCCAAACCCATTTGGGAACATACTTTAAAGGGTTTAGGGTTTAGGGTTTAGGGCCTAGGGGTATTCTTAAGGCCTCGATTTGGGAACTAACCTCAACCGTAGGTGCTTATATGGTCTTACCGGGCACAAAGCTCGCCTTACTTAACGAGTATACCTCTGAGTGACCTGGTTTCAGGCAAAGGCTCCAGCTTCAGGATGGGAGGGTTCTTGCAACCCCCTTCCAGACTTTGTGGAGGCATCCCTCTTTGAAACCTCAAAGACCCTACATACCAACGACACGAATCGGAGACGTTATCTACAGAGCGAAAACCAAGTGTTCCGTTCTTCCTTGGGCAACGGAGATTGTGAACGACACCCGAAAGCCTGAATCCCTAATCCCAAAGCCCACGCTGAAGTCGCGAAAGTGAAAAAGACGGCTGACAAGGCTCCCCCAGAAGAATTTGCACCATCACGTCTGCTTGAAGCGCCTCGGCTGAGTGCTGCATGGAAATTCCAAATCTGACCTTTTGCTGAGTTGTTGTTGTGAGCGACTTTCGACTTGCTCCCACGTTGAGCCTTGGTGGGAGCTTCCAAGATCGCTGTGTAAGGCCCAAGAATGTGAACCCAAGGGTTGGTCGCATCCAGAAACTCAAACATCATCGCAGTTGGCATCGGAAAGGTCATGACAACGCGACCTTTCGATCCGCATGAGCAATTCCAACCTCGTCACCACTCAGTGGAGGACGACGACAACAAGAGAAGAAGAAGCCGGGTGCCCAGAGCTCCACGTCCCAATACCCATTCGTGGTCACATATCTCTACGTTCCTGAAAAGCCACGAAAACATCCAGTACTGGAGATCTGTAGAACAGAAACCGCAGGGCCAACACTTCAAACCACACCCAAGAGCTGGCAGATCTGCCTTCTGGAAAGCCATGGCTGGGGTACACTTCGACAAAGATTGACACACATGTGGATGACTTCCATACGAGTTTGCTGCATACAGCGACCTTCCGAATTCTCAACAGCCCCCCATGTGCAATCCCGTTGCGTGCCCTCAGCACCGGGCTGTCGAGACGTAGGCGCCGGCAGCGACGTCTTCAAGGATCTCGGGGTCAAAGGAAACCTTTGCATTCAGAAGAGTAGTGTCAGTAGTGTTTAGTAATCTCCCTTGTGCTAGCACTGGCTTCTAGCAACAGCAGCTCTTGCACCCGTGAAAGAAGCAGCAGCTGGGTGTGGTCTTCGTCGTCGCAGACATTCCGAAACTTGAAACCTCCCGATCCCTTCACAGAGCTGCTCGTGCTGAGAACGGTAGCCTAAACTCCGAACATGCTGCAGTCTAAACCCAACAGAGAGACGCCAACAAAACATCGCTCCCTGAAAACCCACAAAACAGCCCGGCCCAGCCGCTGAGGGGCTGCCCAGCACCAGGGAAGTGAAGGCACCGGGTCTGGAAAGAAGTTGGGAGTCATGGGAACGATAAAAACCGGGGCCTTCATGAGATGAGTAGAGTTTGATGGGAATTCGATTTGGAGATTATTCCGACAACTACGTGCATTCATGAGTACATGAGCCGCCCAGCCAGCCAAGTAACTTCCAAGTAAAAGGTACCTCTTACATTGCCTTGCTCTGCAACTAGATATTCTCACATGCAAACAACACCGCGCCTCAGCAGCATCGTCTGAAGCGCAACCACAGCACTGTAGCCTCAGCGCCGAGCTCCGCCATTCCTACTGTTGTTACTCAGCAAGGGAGGCCTTCTGTTCCATACTGTAGCAGTTTACAGTGAACTCGAAAAGGTACGCCTGTACCCGCACACGTACTATGTCAGGAGCATGGCTCCATTCAAGCCCAGTGGAAAAGCTCTCCGAGCTGAAGAACCACACGGCAGCACGGCGAAACCCCTTGAACATGAACTTGCTGAGTGTTAGATCTAGAGTTTACAGACCGCCTATCAGAAAGCCGCCAGGATTCTTGCGCCCAGCAAACATCGCCGCGGCGCTTGGGACAATCCCAGCAGATTCTTCCTCACGCTGACCCCAGCAGCGACGGTACGGGGTTATAACGGTTTAGCCTAGGGATATATTATACCATACGTACAGGCCTGACAACAGACAGAGTTTGGCTGCAGGATGTTGCGGCTATATGAGCTCTAAGCTTACAAGGCCCAGGCACTCCACGTGGGGCAGCACCTCGTCGACCAAGGCCTGCGCGCTGAATTCTTGTTGCATGGAGAGGAACTCCACCACATTGGCTGCTTGCTCCAGTCAGCACGCCGTTCTGGCTGTTCTCTCAGGAGCGAATGCTATGCTGGCTATGCTTTTGGCCTGCAGTTTGTCGGTGAATCAAACTGGCCGTCGACGCACAGAGAGTGAGATAGAGAGATAGAGAGAGAGAGGGAGCAAGAGGGAGCGAGAGAGGACGCATGAGGACGCAAGACGGGAGCCAGATTGAGAAAGGCCGAGAGACGAGAAAGGTTTCTGAGGCTCGGCCGAGCCTCGACCAAACGATGGGCGTGGGCATTGGGTCCGCGGCCCGGGAGAATAGAGGCATGATTGCCTGCTCTTGATTCTATATAGACTTTGTAAGAATTCGGGCGGATTTCGGGGCTCTAAGCCCTGCAGCAGGTTCTGGCCGAAGTTCCCCTTGCAGCTACAAGCTCTATGCAAGACCTCACCTCAGAAGTGCCAGACGCGAGTGACGCGAGGAAGGCTGAAGTTGCGCCATGGATCGACATCGCCTATCTCCGGTTACGTATTCGCCCGTATTCGGCGATGGGTAGATACGCCACACAGCTCCTGAAGCTAACGCCGAATATCTTTCTTGTGAGAGATCTGCTCCAAGATACGCGGTGGAAAGTCTCTGCGGCGAAGCTGACGCAGGGCCTGCCCAAAGCATAAGAAGCAAAGCGATGTTGACGGTAGACTCAAGCAGGTCGTAGCTTTCGGTTCGGGGTGGCCCGTCCCTGAGGCCAACCGAATCGACTTCGTCGAGGCACAAGTTATCGGGAACATCAGAACGCCCTCGAACAATCTGGAACAGTTGGGGGCTGCAGATAAGCACCATAAGGATTGGGCCCGATTTTGCTGGGTTTGCTAACTCAGAATCTTCAAGGAGTCCGCCAAGTTCGTTGACTCCGAACCTGGAGCCCTTCATGCGCCTGAGCGTCGAAGCCGGTGTCGGACAAGCAGAAGTCCGCACTTGCATGGCCGACGCCGACCACGAACATCCGCCTCGGGACATGCGCTTTCTTGGAGAGCCAGACAAATTTCAGGGGACATGCTGCTAAGGTCATAGCCTGCAACACACCTCAAGCTGGGCAGAAGACAGATGTTTTGCAGAGACAACGACACTTGCAGTCGATGTAGCCAGCCATAACAGGCAAACAGTGAATGTTCGGCGCAACAGTTGGGAAAGCAGCGCGGAATGCATCCAATCTAAGCGTGCGAACTGTGTCGAGCTTGATGCTTGAAATCCCCACTTCGTCTACGTGGCAGCACAGTCAAGCGTGTTTCGCGTGTCCGATAAAGGCGGCCCTTGAATTGCTCGGAGGCTTGGGACACTTTGTCACGGCACAGAGGTCTATGACCAGGTCACAGTGTGCTCGAGCCTTGCTGCACAAAAAAAGTACGAGTTCGGCTATCCAACCTCGCCAGCTTGACCCAGGTTCCAGAAAAGAACCTAGCAGGAAAAGGCCTGTGTTCTAGGTTGCAACAACTTTAGTTTCTCCGTTGTTGAAACAGTTAGTAGTCACTTGAACACCTGCTATCCAAAATAACATGCATGCAACCACTGCCACTTCTTTCGCTTGCTTAACCAACTGCGACTTCCGCAGGTCACATACACTCTGTCTAAACTTCACAACAACACTTCCTACATGACACATACGTTCCTACGTCCGCGCCTGAAAGCCGCTTCTGGGCAAGCTTCGGAGTTCGCGAAATAAGAGGCCTGCAAAGTACGGAGGAGACGCATAAAACTGCTCTGGGAGTCAGAGCATCAAGGAGACATAAATTAAGCAGATATGCGACAATAGCTGGATCATTGGCTTGGATCACCAGAACCTGCTCGCGAGACATCGACAATCCGTTTGTGAATGTGCCGTCGGCCGTATGTCTTTGTCTTTATCACCATGTGTGTTACATATAGTGAACTGCCAACCACATTGAACCGAATTACTATGAAATCCTACTTGTCCCTCATTCATGAACTCCCCCAAATTACCCAGATGCCAAAATGAGTCGCGAAAGCAGCTCACACAGCAACACACCAAGCGTCTCAAAGCAGGTCGGCAAAGCAGGCAGGCGAAAAAACAACATCATCCTGAGAACAGCAGAGAGTTCTACGAAAGCAGCTTCTGGATCTGCAATACTCCAAGCCGCAAAAAACTCCGGGCATCTGGTTGGAAGTGATCAAACCACTCAGCGACGTCCACATTACCAGCGCGGATGAATTCAAACTGAAGAGCACACGTGCTCTAAGCCAGCGGATGAAGTGCAAAGAGCGACGAACCAAAACGACGGGGTTTGACGACTATAGGGGGGCTGGTAATTTGCTGAATGAGGATGTGGGAGACATTACAGCTGTACAATGGAGACGATCGGGGGATAAAGTTACGACTTGTTCAGGTCCCCATGTTGCATCCCGAGCCTGTCCAAAGGCGAAGAGCGCAGCTGCGCCGAAGAGGAGAGGTTGTGGGTCTAAAACGTAGAAGACCTCAGACGATACAGAAAGCACATTTAGGGTTTAGGCTTTAAGGACGCAGAACTCTACGTTTGTGGTGGGTTTGACTGAGACCTTGGAATCGTTCGAGATCGACGTTGCCTTTCTTCTCGCTGTACTGCACTCACCTGACTCTAGGGCACTTTAGCTGAAGCCCATCAGGAGCCCACTGCCTCGTCAGAATCTAAGGGACCACAAGACAAAAGCTTAATGAGTAGGATAGTAGGATCCTGACTATCACAAGGACCTCCGACCCCTGGAAACCAGGACCCTTTCGCCCCTTCCAACTTATAACGGTGGTTTTCCCTTGTCACCGCGCAAACGTGTGCCCGAGTCTCTCACTGCGTCAGCCTCTGCCTAAGCTTCTTCCTGTCTGTCCGTTTCCGACTTTCGGTCTGGGTCTCTCTGTCTCGCTCGGTGGTCGAGACACAAGCGGCTCCTCCTCTGGCCCTGGCGCCCTGCGGAGGAGGGAACAGGGGCCTTTGATTTGGGGTTGGGGCCTACGGCTTGAGGATTTAGGGCTTCCGGCTTACGGAGAGTAGGGGTTGCAACTAGCAGTCCCAGCCTGCCAAGAATAGAATCGAAACGATGGAACAAGTAGTTGGTTTGAGAATACAAAGAGTTCAACAAGCTCTACCATGGGAAACTCGCAACAACAACAACAACAACAAC